TGCCTGCGTGTAGGCGATGGCTGTTGGCTGCGCTCGACAGTGGCCCTCCGCAGGAGTGGCCGTTGGCGCTCGGGGCGATCGAAGTGGATACGGAAACAGTGGGCACAAAGTCCAACAGCAGTTCTTGTTCATTCTGAACAGGGTTCGCTGCTAGCGAGGCCGCGGCCGTTTTCCGTTTGAGACAGAAGGCCGCCTGCCCAACAGTGGCCTTTGTCGGTTTTGGACAACATTTGTAGTGGGGCACTGTACCCATGTCATGTCCTCCGTACCCATCTCGGGCGTTCAAAGGCGCGGCGCTGCATGGGCCCCTCCAGCAGCAGGCCTAACTACGCGCTTGGAGTTGGCCCCCCGCCCCCCCTCCTCGCGGCCCTCTGAAGCCGCGCGCCAGAAGGTCACAGCCGAAGCCCGCAGAGGGCATCCACGCGCCACCGCTGCGCTAGGCCAGGGCAGGGCCATGCGCTGGGCCCGCCGGATGGTGTGCGTCGCCTCCTGGCCTCGGGCCAGGAGGGCGCAGACGTCACGCTGGAGGCTGGCGACCGGTGGTGGCGTGCAGATGCTTTCTGCGCACGAGGGCGATGACAGCCAGCCCGCGGCGTAAGGACGGGCAACCTTCCCGAGCTTCCCCCCCCCTTCCCCTTCCCGGAGGAGGAGGAGGAGGAGGAGGAGGAAGAGGAGGAGGAAGAGGAGGAGGAGGGGGAGGGGGGGAGGAGGAGGAGGAGGAGGAGTTCCCCAAGGGTACCCATCGCGTCCTCGCCTCCTCGGAGTCATCCCTGGACCACTCCCGCCGGCCCCGCCCCGCTCGGGAGGCTTCGAAAGGGGCGCCCGAGGCCCTTGCTCAGGAGGGGCAGAAACACACAGACACAATTAATCGTCGATCCCCAGGAAAATATGGGAAATATGGGAAGTGGGGGGGAAGACGAAAACCCAGAAAATATGGGAAAATATGGGGAATCTTTTTATTTATGTGTATTTATTTATTTTTTTGTGGGCCCCTTCACTTGCATCATTATCCCACGTCCTTCCGATGCGGATGGACTCTACAGTGCGGGCGCGGCCGCAAGAAGCGCAGGAAGCCCAACCCTGAGAGCCCGTGCGCGAGGCACACCAGAGGGGACATCTGGAGCACCCCTGCACGCAGCAGCTCCTTCGACGGCTGCGGGAAGCCACCGCGCAGCGCGAGGAGCGAAGAACACCCGCGATACCCTGACGAAGCGCATTTGTCAGAAGGGGAAAACACACAGACACAATGAATCGTCGATTCCCCGGAACATATGGGAGAATAGGGGAAGTGGGGGGGAAGACGAAGATCCACAAAATATAAAAATGGGGGGAATATGTTGCATTTGTGCGTATTCATTTGTGTGTCATCACCAGCAGCATCATCATCACCACGACATCATCCTTATACTCAACATCATCAGCAGCACCACCACTATCACCATCATTGATGCCGTCACCATCAGTACCACCATCATCATTACCATCAGCATCGTCGCCACATCACCATCATCACCATCACCGTCACCATCATCGGATCGGCGCTCAAATTACTTAGCGCCTTCACCAGTCCCGCAATCACCACCCTCGTTACCATGATCATCGTTACCATCTTCAACATCACTATCACCATCTTCATCGTCATCATCATCAGCATCGCCAGCAACATTGCCATCGCCGTCATCAGCACCATCAGCTTCATCATCACCTGCGCCATCATCAACATGCCAACCTTTATCCATCAGTGTTTGTCCGCGACCCATCGCCCCCCATCCCGCGGCCCCCATCCTCCCCCCAGTGTCCTCGATCGTTCCTCCTTCCTCGTCCCGCCGTTGTCCCTCCCCTTCCGCTGTTCCTCTGCCGTCGTCCCTCCTGTCTCGTTTCTCCTCCCTCCTTCCGCCGTCATCTCTCATCTCTTGTGCCCCCCCGCCCCCCCCCCTCCTTCACTTACTGGAGGTGGGCGACGATGGACGCCGCAGCGCCAGCACGGACTTGGGCATCGTGGCGACGGGGGAGGCAAATGTTCCCGTGTCGTTGTTCTTCTCATCCCCCCGATGTTTCGCATGTGTCGTTGGCATTTCATTTCCCTCATCCTTCCCCCTGCCGTCCCCCCTCCTCCCAGGAGGCGGAGGAGCAGGGTCAGGTCAGGCCTTGTAGCCCCAGGAAGTCGACCCGTCGTCGGACGAGGGGAGAGGCCGCAAGACTACGACACTAACTCGAGGTCGGACCTCGCTCGCCTGAGCGGGCGCAGCAGAACGAATTCTCTGCGCTTGGGTGAGACAACTCGTGGAACCGAGCCTGCTCTCAAAGGAGACGAAAACGACTGTCGAGGGATCGATAAAGCCGTGATGGGCCGCCATTTCGAAATTGATCATCGGAGGAGGAATGGAGAGCCCATACCCGCCCCAACACGCCCCCGACGATGCAGCACACGTCCCTCAGCCCGTCAGGGGTACCGTCGACCATTGACGGCAGCCCGAGGGACCAGCGATCCACAGCCGCTTGCGAGTGGGAGGAGGGGGAGGAGGGGGAGGAGGAGGAAGAAAAGGACGGGGGAGAACGAGGAGGAGGAGGACATCCCAATCCCTCCTGTGTTCCTCCTGTTCCCCCGCCTGCCGCGAATTCTCCTGGGATCTTCTAGGGCGGGGCAGGTGACCAACTGCATCGACGGACGCGTCGGGGTGCAGTTCCAGGACCAACTCCAGCCTCGCATCGCAGAAGCCGTCAGCCGTGCTCGAGAACTCAGCGGAAGGCGAGTTGAGACCACGGTAGCTTCAGGAGGGGAAGAAAGACACAGACACAATTCATCGTCGATCCCCTAGGAAAATATGGGAAAGTATGGGAAGCCGGGGGGGAAGGCAAAAGCCCAGAAACTATGGGAAACGATGGAGAATCTTTGGATTTGTGTGCATTTGTTTGTGTGTCTGTGGGCCCCTTCCTAGTTGGCCATCCTCGGGCAGCCCTGGGAGGAGGAGGTGGAGGAGGAGGAGGAGGAGGAGGAGGAGGAGGAGGAGGAGAAGGAGGAGGGGGAGGAGGAGGAGGAGGAGGAGGAGGAGGAGGAGGAGGAGGGGAGGAGGAGGGAGGAGGAGGAGGAGGAGGAGGAGGAGGAGGACTGGTGCGTTTGGACCACTGGCAGGGATCCGGGGACCGATCTCGAGAGCTGCCGCTGCCTCGGCCCGCCGTGCTCCGCGAGACGCCCCTCTGGCGTTCTCCTGTCCCTGGCGTCGCTCGGACGTGTGCCTCTTTCCGTCGGCGAGGGCCATCGAGGAGCATCCTTGATCATTTGGCATTTTTTTTGTAAAAAACACGCACGAAATCGAAAAAAAAAAACAGGGAATGGACGTCCGAGCGATGGCCAGTGTCTTGCCTCGCGCACGCCACATCGCTGTGCCATCGTAGCATGGAGCGTCCCATTCGCCCGCAGAGGCCGCCGTCGGCATGTACAGGCGGGGCGCCGAAGAAGGAACTCGTTTCGTTTGGGGGGGGGGCCTCGGCGTCCCTCGATTGTTCTACAGATTGCCTTAGGTTCTCCGGAGGTTTTCCATGGGAAGTCGAAGTTAAATTCTGTAGACGCTTCGCGTAACCCCACCAGTTTTGACCCGCCCCCTGGAGCCTTCCTTGGGGCCGCAGATCAAACAAGTAACCCCACCAGGTCCGTAGCCTCTGGCTCAAGTCCTTGGCTCAAGCCGTCTCGGCTCGAGCCCGCCCCTGGTACACGTGTGCGCCGGGCCGGCCCCGTCGCGATGGCTTCGCGCCTCTCCGGCGCCGCCCGGCGGCGGCGGCCGCGCTCTGCCGCCGCCGCCCGCGACGGGTCGCCCCGCCCGGGCCCCCCGCTTGCCGCTGCCGCGGCTGCGTGTACTTTTTGTCCCCGCTTTCCCGGGGAAACAGCGAAAAATGTATACACTCGGGCGTGGCTTAATGGGGGGGTCACAATTGGGGGGGTCAGACAAGGTCCCCTTTCGTGCCCCTTTTGGGCCCCTCCAGAGCCCCAGGGGGCTCGTTTAGGTACCATTTGGGTACCTTTTCGGACCACACTCGCCGCCCCCCCATTTATGATCCCCCCATTACGCGACGCCCAATACACCAGGATCCCGTATACACCAGGATCCGCTCTCCTGCGCGAGATCTTGTGCGGGGCCCGGACATAGCGTCGGTGCGTAGAGTCCGGCTCCTTCAACAGGTTCGGGTTCGGGAGGGGGCTCCAGTTTCAGGACCGCTCCCTGGGCCCAGGTCGGGGAGCCCATGCGCGGCCGAGGCTCGCCAGAACATCCTCTTTGCTCCCCAGTTGCCCATGGCCATAGCAGCACGATGGTGGCACCTCGCAGACCCGACGCGAGATCCGACCCGAGCCGATTTCTCCACTCGACGCTGGCCGGCCCGCCTCCCTCCTCCGCCTTCCTGGGGCTGGTCCCTCTCGGGCGCGCGACGGGCTGAGGCCCGTGGGGTTCCCGGAAGGTTGTGGCAGGGGTTTCTGCTGCCTCGGCCGCAGCCCTCCTCGACTCCTTAGACAACCCCTTCTCATTCCTCCCTCCCTCCTCCCTCCCTCCTCCCTCCCTCCTCCCTCCCTCCTCCTCCTTCCCCTCCTCCCTCCCTCCTCCCTCCTCCCTCCCTCCCTCCTCCCTCCCTCCTCCTCCTTCCTTTCTTCTCCTCTGAGCGTAACGCTCCAAAGTTGTGGCCCACATGGGCCAAATACGGCGCTGTGGAGCATGCCGTCCCCTTCCGCCGAGCCGATCCGACGTTTCTCCCTCCTCCCTCCCTCCTCGTTTCTCCTACCTCCTCCCACCCCCCCTCCCTCCCTCTCGTTCCCTTCTCCCTCCCCCGGTTCGATGCCCCCTCGCCCCCCCCCCCCTCCAGCGCGCCACGGCCCGCCCCTCGGGCAGCGGCGGCGCCCTGCCCCTGCGCCCGCCGCCCGCCCCCCGGGGAGGACACCGTGCAGCAGACGGTGCCCCTGGGCTGGATCGCGCACCTGCACAGGCGCCGCGCCCTCGGCGACCTCGCCGGGGATGGTCGAGAGAGGGCTCCTCCCCAGACCCCCTCGCGTCGTGAAAAAATCACGACGGGAGGTTTTTCATTATTTTTGGCCTTTGGGGGCCCTTACCGGCCCTCGGGACCGTCAAAAAACGACTCAGGACGAAAAACCGGTCCCGGGGAATGGGTCGAGACCTCGGGGTGTCGACGTCATGAAAAAATCATGACGTCGGGGGTCTGGGTCGGGAGCCCTGGGGCGGGGGTGCATGCAAGCGGGGGTCCCTGAGAGCGCCAGATCCTGCAGGAGCCTGCAGAGCCAGGGTTGTGCTGTCATCGCCGATAGGGAGAGGGGCCCGATAGCCCAGCCCGCATCCCCCTGTAGGGGGACACGCCCGACTTAAACTAAGGCGCGTGGAGTTGCGACGCGTCTTGTTTCCATACGGCATTGCGGCATCGGCGCGTGCCGCCACCAAACCGGGTGGCACTGGCGCCCTCTCTCGTGGGCACCTTCCCCGCTTCGTGGATCTGGCGGCCGCGCACCAGGCCCGCGCATCCCTAGTCCATGTCAGCGTGCGCCCGGCAGGTATCGTGGCCCCCTCCTCCTGGACGGTGCGCAATGGGGGGTCATAAATGGGGGGGCGGCGAGTGTGGTCCGAAAAGGTACCCAAACGGTACCTAAACGAGCCCCTGTGGGGCTCTGGAGGGGCCCGAAAGGGGCACGAAAGGGGACCTTTTCTGACCCCCCCCCATTTGTGACCCCCCCATTAAGCCGCGCCCAACTCCTCGTCTGGCGCCTAGTCTCGGGGGGACCCTCCCCGATTCGTGGACCTGGCGGCCGCGCGCCGGACCCGCGCATCCCCAGTCCACGTCCGCGTGCGCCCCGGCAGGCACTCGGCATCGCTCGGACGTGTGCATTTTTTCTCGGCGAGAGCCATCGAGGACCATCCTTAGGGGAACAAAACGTCACATAAACTTAAAAACGCGGAGGTCCGCGCGGATTTCTCGGATCGGCGCTGGACCCCCATCCCTGGCGCGCGGAGCGCGCCAGGGGCGGCGCTGGAGGCGCCGCCGGGGGGCCCCAGCGCCGATCCGAGAAATCCGTGCGGACCTCCGAGTTGTTATGTTTATGTGATTTTTTGTTCCCCTAATCGTGGACCATCGAGCAACAAAAAAACACGCACGAAAACGGGAAATGGACGTCCGAGCGACGGCAAGGGTATCGTAGCCTTCTGTCGGGCGTGTCCCCCTACAGGGGGATTTCCGACGAAAATTTAAAAATACCCCACAAATGCCCCAAGAAGGCCAAAAAACATTAAAAGAATAGTCCCCAGACTATTTTTGGACTATGTTTTGATTATGTTTGGTGTATTTCTTATTTTTCGTCGAAAAACCCCTGGTAGGGGGACAGGCCCGACTTCAAAATAGTCAACCAATAGTCTGGTGAGGAATTTCCCAGGCATCCTCAAAATTCTCAAAAACAGTCTGGAAGATTGCCTCCTTCACAGAAGAGCTTCGCTAGCAGACGGCGCGACCGGGGGTCAGCGGCTAGCCCCCACTCGCCCTGGCCCCCCCCCTCCAAGGCGCACCCGGACTCGGCCGAACAGCGCTTCGCCCACGATGCTCGTCTGCCCTCCCTCGATGGGAAGCATATTCGATGCTCGTTCTGGGGACCTTCCTGAGGCCCACCTAACGGATCTGTTCGACTCAAGTTCGACTCAGATTCGACACAGGTTCGACTCAGGTTCGACGCAGGCTCGACTCAGGTTCGACTCAGGTTCGACTCAGGTTCGACGCAGGCTCGACGCAGGTGTGGAGAGAGTGGTTCCAGGAAGCTCCCCAGAATGAGTATCTAAAGCATAGCAGCACAGGCATCATCCGCAGCTAGCTGCTCTCCCGAACGAGGACAGCGTCATGAACAGAACTGCTTGGGGGTCCTCGCGGATTCCTGAATCAGACCTCTGCTGGAGCCCACCTTGGCGGCGCCTCCGGCGCGGGCCTTGGTGCGCTCTCCGCGTCAAGGGGGGGGGGGGGGTCCAGGATCGATCGAATGCCGCGCTGACCTTTGCAGGTTTGGGTTCAAGCTGCTCTGGCGAAAATTGCACCCTCGTGGGAGACACCGCTCGTCTACCCCGTGGCAAGAGAGAGAGAGAGAGAGAAAAAAAAGAGAGGGAGGAAAGCAAGCGCAGTGCGGAACAAAAAGGCAGCAGTTGTCGGAGGTCCGCACGGATTTCTTGCATCTGCGCTGAGCCCCCCTCCCTGACGTGCGGAGCTTGCCAGGGGTAGGACCAGAGACGCCAGCAAGAAATCCGCGCGGATCTCTGAAAGATTAGGGCTACGCAGGCTTCTCTCTCCCACTCCTGCTCTCGATCTAGTCCTCCCCCTCCTCCTGCTCCCCCCTCAACCTCTCCCTCCTCCCTCCTGTTCCTGCTCCCCCCTCTTCACCAGCCTACTCTTCCCCTTCTTCAGCCTCCCGCCCTCTCATCTTCTCCTCCCCGTCTCTCTCGCTCTCTTTTTTTCCCAACCTTCCTGCGTTGGGTACTCGTTTTGAATAGAGCACTGCGGTCGCGTCTTCCCTCCTCCTCCTCCTCCTCCTCCTCCTCCTCCTCCTCCTCCTCCTCCTCCTCCTCCTCCTCCTCCTCCTCCTCCCATTCCTCCCTCCCTGCCTCTTCCTGTCTTGCCTGCGGGGGTCTGCGATCTGTGAAACTGTCGCCACTTTCGAGCCTGCTGGGGGGCCCAGCACAGTGACGTCTTACGGGGACTCATATTAGACCTCGCCATCCCTGGGGGGCTGCGATCTGTGAAACTGTCGCCACTTTCGAGGGCTGCTGGGGGGCCCAGCACAGTGACGTCTTACGGGGACTCAGATTAGACCTCGCCATCCCTGGGGGGCTGCGATCTGTGAAACTGTCGCCACTTTCGAGGGCTGCTGGGGGGCCCAGCACAGTGACGTCTACGGGGATTCAGATAGACCTCGCCATCCCTGGGGGGCTGCGATCTGTGAAACTGTCGCCACTTTCGAGGGCTGCTGGGGGGCCCAGCACAGTGACGTCTTACGGGGACTCAGATTAGACCTCGCCATCCCTGGGGGGCTGCGATCTGTGAAACTGTCGCCACTTTCGAGGGCTGCTGGGGGGCCCAGCACAGTGACGTCTTACGGGGACTCAGATTAGACCTCGCCATCCCTGGGGGGCTGCGATCTGTGAAACTGTCGCCACTTTCGAGGGCTGCTGGGGGGCCCAGCACAGTGACGTCTTACGGGGACTCAGATTAGACCTCGCCATCCTGGGGGGCTGCGATCTGTGAAACTGTCGCCACTTTCACTGCTTGACGACGGGGACTCAGCTCGCTGGGGGGCTGCCTCGCCACAGACGTGACGTTTACGGGGACTCATATTAGACCTCGCCATCGCTGGGGGGCTGCGATCCGTGAAACTGTCGCCACTTTCGAGGGCTGCTGGGGGTTCAGCGGAGTGACGTCTTACGGGGACTCAGATTAGACCTCGCCATCCCTGGGGGGCTGCGATCTGTGAAATTGTCGCCACTTTCGAGGGCTGCTGAGGGGCCCAGCACAGTGGGGACCCACCGCAGACTCAAATTAGACCTCGCCATCCCTGGGGGGCTGCGATCTGTGAATCTGTCGCCACTTTCGAGGGCTGCTGGGGGGCACAGCACAGTGGGTACCCACCGCAGGCTCAAATTCGACCTCGCCATCCCTGGGGGGGCTGCGATCTTTGAAACTGTCGCCGCGTTCGAGGGCTGCTGAGCGGCACAGCACAGTGGGTACCCACCGCAGACTCAAATTAGACGCCGCGTTCGTCCTTGTTCTCCTCCTGCAGTCACCTTCCCTCTGCTGCTGCCGTGCTGATGGTTCGGCTTCCCGCACGTGTTTCTCCTGCTCTGCGTTCCCGACTCCCCATGTCCTCTTCGAGCCTGTAGTTGTCGCGCCTCGTTCTTGTATGGTTCTCCTGCGCATCATGCCATAGGCGCGTGTCCCAAGTAGCTTACACATCAAGTTGATTGTCCATGCAAGTTTCGGCCAACCCCTCGTTTCCATTGATACAAATGGGTTGGGTACGTCACAGGGTAATTTCCCAACCCTCCTGCGTTGGGTTCTCGTTTTGAATAGAGCACTGCTCGCGCGTCTCCTTGCCTCTTTCCCGCCCCTCTCTTCCCCCTTGCTTTTTGCCTCGCCCGCCGCTGCGTGCCAGCTGGGGGGCTGCGATCTGTGAAGCTGTCGCCACTTTCGAGGCCTGCTGGGGGGGGCCAGCACAGTGGGTACACACCGCGGACTCACATGGGACCTCGCCATCCCTGGGGGGCTGCGATCTGTGAAACTGTCGCCACTTTCGATGCCTGCTGGGGGGCCCAGCACAGTGGGTACACACCGCGGACTCACATGGGACCTCGCCATCCCTGGGGGGGCTGCGATCTGTGAAGCGGTCGCCACTGTCGAGGCCTGCTGGGGAGCCCAGCACAGTGGGTACCCACGGCGGACTCAAATGGGACCTCGCCATCCCTGGGGGGCTGCGATCTGTGAAACTGTCGCCACTTTCGAGGCCTGCTGGGGGGCCCAGCACAGTGGGTACACACGGCGGATTCAAATTGACCTCGCCATCCCTGGGGGGCTGCGATCTGTGAAACTGTCGCCACTTTCGAGGCCTGCTGGGGGGCCCAGCACAGTGGGCCACGGGCGGATTCAAATGAGACCTCGCCATCCCTGGGGGGCTGCGATCTGTGAAACTGTCGCCACTTTCGAGGCCTGCTGGGGGGCCCAGCACAGTGGGTACCCACGGCGGACTCAAATTAGACCTCGCCATCCCTGGGGGGCTGCGATCTGTGAAACTGTCGCCACTTTCGAGGCCTGCTGGGGGGCCCAGCACAGTGGGTACCCACGGCGGACTCAAATGGGACCTCGCCATCCCTGGGGGGCTGCGATCTGTGAAACTGTCGCCACTTTCGAGGCCTGCTGGGGGGGCCCAGCACAGTGGGTACCCACGGCGGACTCAAATGGAACCTCGCCATCCCTGGGGGGCTGCGATTAGTGAAACTGTCGTCACTTTCGAGGCCTGCTGGGGGGCCCAGCACAGTGGGTACGCACCGCGGATTCAAATGGGACCTCGCCATCCCTGGGGGGGTGCGATCTGTGAAACTGTCGCCGCTTTCGAGGCCTGCTGGGGGGCACAGCACAGTGGGTACCCACCGCGGACTCACATGGGACCTCGCCATCCCTGGGGGGCTGCGATTTGTGAAACGGTTGCCACTTTCGAGGCCAGCTGGGGGGCCCAGCGCAGTGGCTACTCACCGCAGACTCAAATTAGACCTCGCCATCCCTGGGGGGCTGCGATCTGTGAAACCGTCGCAACGTTCGAGGCTTGCTGGGGGGCCCAACACAGTGGGTACCCACCGCAGTCCCAAATTAGACCTCGCCATCCCTGGGGGGCTGCGATCTGTGAAGCTGTCGCCACTTTCGAGGCCTGCTGGGGGGCCCAGCACACCCACCGCAGACTCAAATTAGACCTCGCCATGCCTGGGGGGGTGCGATCTGTGAAACTGTCGCCACTTTCGACGGCTGCTGATGGGGCACAGCACAGTGGGTACCCACCGCAGATTCACATGGGACCTCGCCATCCCTGGGGGGCTGCGATCTGTGAAACTGTCGCCACTTTCGAGGGTTGCTGAGGGGCACCGCACAGTGGGTACCCACCGCAGACTCAAATTAGACGCCGCTTTCGTCCTTGTTCTCCTCCTGCAGTCACCTTCCCTCTGCTGCTGCCGTGCTGATGGTTCGGTTTCCCGCACGTTTTTCGCCTGCTTTGCGTTCCCGACTCCCCATGTCCTCTTCGAGCCTGTAGCTGTCGCCCCTCGTTCTTGTATGGTTCTCCTGCGCATCATGCCATAGGCGCGTGTCCCAAGTAGCTTACACATCAAGTTGATTGTCCATGCAAGGTTCGGCCAACTCCTCGTTTCCATTGATACAAATGGGTTGGGTACGTCACAGGGTAATTGTTTTTCTCTCTGTCTCTCTCTCTCTCTCGCTCTCTCTCTCTCTCTCTCTCTCTCTCTCTCTCTCTCTCTCTAGGCACACTGAATCGTCGATTCTCAGGAAAATATGGGAAAATGTGGGAAGTGGGGGGAAGACAAACACCCAGAAAATATGTGAAAATATGGGGAATCCTGTTATTTGTGTGTGTATTTAGTTGTGTCTCAGGGCCCCTTCACCCTCTTCATATAGGATGACGACTAAGACATGCCTTGGGGGAGCCGTCGCGCAGGAGGTTGGCCGAAACACTCACAGGCCATACGCCAGGCAGCGCGTGGCAAGAAAGCCAAGGGCCAGAGCTGTCAAGCGCTTCCATTTCCACGGGCCCCGTTCTTTAGTTCTTTATGCAGGTCTCGCTTTCGCCTGCGGGAGGCCTCTGCGGCCAGGGCGGTTCTCGGTGCCAACTCCGATGCTGCCTTCCAAGTAGCTTGGCTCCAGCACTCACAAGCCATACGCCATGGCCGAGCCCGTGCTGAAAATAGAGATGACGGGGCCACGAGTGGAGGAGCAGCAGGAGCTGGGAGGTACCAGTCCTTCGAGGGAAGAGGACCGAGCATTTTCCTTGGGTGGAGGGCAAAGGGTGAACTTTGGAATGCCGTTTCGATTGCCTTTCGAGGTTTGGATCTGCAAAATGTGAATCACCAGACGGCTTGAACTCCGAGGTGCGAAAGCCCGTATGGATTTCACCCCGAGCCCTCCACCCTAAGAAAATGCTCAGGAGGACGACGGCGGACACGGCGGCCCGCGGCAGCGGTGACGACGCCGACGGCGAGGCAGCGGCAGTGCAGCCGCGGGGGGGGCGCGCGGCGCCAGGTGGTGCGTCGGCGATCGGGTGCAGGCGGCCGACGCCTCCGGCAGCCCCTGGGCCCAGGGGCCGGGCGGAGGGTGCGGGGGTCGGGGGCGTTCATGGATCGAAGAATACTCCAGATTTCGTAATAAAAGGGAGGGGGTCTCAACCCTCCCAGACGAGAAGTTTTAGACCCCCCCCCGTGGGAGAACCCTCCAAAACACCGTCCCCAGACCCCCCCAGGCCCTCCAAGATAGCCTGGAAGAGACCCCCCCGAAATGAGACCCCCTCCCTTTTATTACGAAATCTGGAGTATCAGACGATCGCAACCATGGATTAAGGGGGCGTGGATCAGCGACGGGCCCCGTTTTCAGGGGGAATCGAAGAGTTTCGCCGCCGGACGAGGCGGCACCGGCCGCATTTTGGGGAGGGCGCCTCCCCCGATCCTGGCGACCGCGCGCCAGATCCATGGGTCGCTGGTCCACGTTTGCGCGCCCCCGAGAATCGGGGGAAGAAGACATTCCCGAATTGGTCCTGGGGGCTCGCGCAAAAAGGGGCCTCCTATGGCGAGGCCACCCGGGAGCGCTGCACGGGCGGTTCGCGGCCAGGCTGGTGGGACCCCTCCGTCTGGTACAACGCCCGTTTTGAGAAGTGTTTCTTCGGCCCATCCTGAGCCAGCGTTGACGTCGAAGAGAAGCTCCAACTGGCAAATGGGCCCTCAAGGGTCTTGCAGCCTTGCTATGGATTCTGCTTGCAGGGACGTCTCTCTCTCTCTCTCTCTTTCTGTCCCTTTCTCTTTCTATATAGACCTATACGACCACCCTTCGGGTGATAAGGAGGTGAGGGGGGGGGGAAGGGACCAACGTCGCGCTCGATCGATCTTACTATCGAACTCACTACCGATCTCACAATCGATCTCAATCGATCGATCTCACAATCGATCTGACTATCGATCTTACAATCGATCTCACAATCGATCTCACATTCGGTCTCGCTATTGATCTCACAATCGATCTCACAAACGATCTGACATTCGATCTGACTAACTATCGATCTAACCATCGAACTCACTTTGGATCTCATTATCGATCGTACATTCGGTCTCACTACCGATCTCACTATCGATATCACAACCGATATCACAATCGATCTCACATTCGGTCTCACCATCGATCTCACTATCAAACTCACTATCGATCTCATTATCAATCTCAATCGATCGATCGCACAATCGATCTGACGATCGATCTCACAATCGATCTCACAATAGATCCCACTATCGATCTCACATTCGGTCTCACTGTCGATCTCACTATCGATATCACAATCGATCTCACAATCGATCTCCCATTCGGTCTCACAATCGATCTCACTACCAATACCACTATCGATCTCACAATCGATCTCACAATCGATCTGACATTCGGTCTCACGCTCGATCTCACAATCGATATCACTATCGATCTCACTATCGATCTCACATTCGACCTCAATATCGATCTCACGATCGATCATCAAAATAAAACACCAATATCATCATCACCATCATCATCAACAACATCAACATCAACATCATCATCATCATCATCATCATCATCATCATCATCATCATCATCATCATCATCATGATCATCATCCTCATCATCATCGGGTCACCGACGGGACACCGGCGGGACACCGGCGTGACACCGCGGGGCCCCGGCCGCCCGGAAGGGAGACATTTAATCCGGCCGCGCCTCAGCCACACGGGACACCAGCGGGACACCGGCGGGACACCGCGGGGCCCCGGCCGCCCGGAAGGGAATCATTTGGTCCGGCCGCGCCTCAGCCACAGGAGATTTTCTCTCGCCCGCCCACGCAGCTTCGCCTCGCCCGCACGGCACGCACGAACACGAAACCGAAATCGATTTCCCGGTAGGGGGGCTCTCCGTTCCACTTCGATCTCACCCCCTCACCTCCGACCCCTCTCTCTCGCTCTCTCTCTCTCTCTCTCTATTGGGCCCTGGGTGGCTAGCCAGCACGCAAGATTTTGTGACCTGGTCGACGGCGTAGCTGGAGTGCCCGGCACGAATATCCTCGCTGTTCTAGTTCCTGCACGCGCGCCCGCGCGTCGGGCCGTCTTCGGAGACGCGCACCCGCGCCGCTCGCCACTTGCCCCATGATCGCCGCGAGGAAGCGCAGGCACCGCACTTCGAGAGGTACGCCTCGCTTGCTTCGGGCGCCGACCCGACACACGCCGAGAGCTGGAACCCCACCCCTCGCCACCACCCTCTCGTGCCTGCGGTTACTCCAGATTTCGTAATAAAAGAGAGGGGGTCTCAACCCTCCCAGACGAGAAGTTTTAGACCCCCCCCCCGTGGGAGAACCCTCCAAAACACCGTCCCCAGACCCCCCCAGGCCCTCCAAGATAGCCTGGAAGAGACCCCCCCCGAAGTGAGACCCCCTCCCTTTTATTACGAAATCTGGAGTAGCTTTTGGGGAGGAGGAGCATCCACAGAAACAGCAGCTTTATGGATCCCATTATCTGAAGCCGTCGTTCCTCCTCGCCTTGGCGTGGCGGTCCAGTTCCGCTGTCCCGCATGTCGTGGTGGGGCATAACATGGAGACGGCCGGCTGCGCCCGAGGCTCATTTCAAGACCGGCACTTCGGACAAGAGCAGCGAGACGGACCCGGGCACCTTTTGCGAGCGCGCGCTGCCGGAGCAGTTGCGCGGCCCGCGTGCGCGCGTGCGCGCGTGCATGGCCGGTTCGATTCAGTTGGAGTTGTCGGGGTGAGGGGGGCGCGCGGTCTTCCGGGGGCGGCAAAGAGGGGGGTGATGACTAGGGGGCATGGCGCCTCTTCTTATTCTTAGGCTTACGCCACACCGCCGACCCCTTGTTTATGCCAATCTGGGGGTAGTAGAAGCTGCGAAGGGGTGAAAAGGCGAGTGATATTTGTTTGGTGTCTGTTCGCCGCCACCGCCAGAGGGTCTCGGGCAGTTCCGCGGGGGGGTCCGAGCGGACGGCGACACCGCGAGTTTTGGAGCCACTTGGGGGCCGTTTCGGAGCCTCTGGGGTGCTTCTTGGGGGTTCCTTGGGGCGTCTGGGCGGCCTCGTGAGGGCCTCTGGGGGCCTCTTGGGGCACTCTTGGGGCCCCCTGGGGCTCCTGGGGGCAGAAAGCTAGAGTTTCAACATGTTTGGTCGCCCTCTTGGGCCCCTCTTGGTGCCGTCTTGGAGCCCTCTTGGGCCGTCTTGGGGACCTCTTGGGCCGTGTTGGGGCCGTCTTGGGCCGTCTGGAGGCCGTCTTGGGGGCCTCTTGGGCCATCTTGGGGCTGTCTTTGGGGCCTCTTTGGCCGTCTTGGAGCGTCGGGAAGCCGAAAAGGCGGAAAAGCAAAAAACATCTAAAAACACTATGGAAAATCAACAATTTTAGACTCTTGGGGCCCTCTTGGGAGGCTTGTTTGGGACCTCGGGGGCCGTCTTGGAGACCTCTTGGCCCGTCTTGGGGCCATCTTGGGCGTCTTGGAGCGGTCGTTTGGCGTCTCGGGGCCTTCGTGGGCCGTCTTGGAGGCCTCTTGGGGGCTTCTTGGCCCGTCTTGAGGCCTTCTTGGGCCCGGAAAAGCCCCGTGAACCGCTCGTCCCGGCCGTGCTGCGCTCGTGCCGGACCCCCCCCCCCCTCCAAATCGACCGGACCGGGCTCCCGGGGGAGGGGTTTGGGGAGGGGGAAGCATCTCACACGCCGATGATCCCCAAGGGGTCGGCGGATTTCATTACGTCCCTGGCCCCCCCGCTGGGCCGCGCACATGCCGCCGGTCATGATTTGCACCCCCCCCGTTTGGACACCCCCCTTTTGGCCGCTCCCGAGTCTTCCAGTGTCCCCGGGTGTGTGGCTCAAGTGGCGATCCGCGCTGCAGACTGCGCAGCGTGAATGGCGGGTTCGATGCGGTCGTACTTGTCGGGGCGAGGGGGGCGAGCGGTCTGCCAGTGTCCCTGGGTGCGTGGCTCAAGTGGGGTTCCGCGCTGCAGACTAAAGGTTTTGGGTGTTCGATCTCTCACTTCTGAAGAAGAAGTGTACTTAGTTGATCCCCCCTGTCTGGTGCGCACTGTGTATTTCCCATCGAAAAGACCCCCTCGGTTCGCGCACAGTGCTTTTTTTCAGGGGGAGTCTGCGGGCTCAAACTGTGCTACTAGGCTCCTGGCTACAACAATGACGGTTCCCGCCTGATACGTATTCATGTTTGTTTCAGGAAACTCGCTCTCGCTCGATATCCCGTTTCCTTGGAAGGCATTCAGATTGTTACGATCGCATGGAATTCCCTCAGCGTATCATATTAGCCAGCGTGGGCCCGAAACAGTGAACATTTGCACTCTGGAGGTGGAGGCTATGCGGGCGCGAGCTCCGCATTGTAAGCGGTGTGGTGTCTGATATGTTGTGTAAGCTATGCGGTCTGAGCTGTGTGGTGTGAGCCATGTGATGCGAGATCTGTTGGTGAAGCTGTGTTATGTAAGCTGTGTGGTTATTGGGCGTAAGCTATGGGGGTGTGCTGTGGTGCGTAAGCTATGGTGTGAGCTATACCATGCTACATGACGTCATCTATCGAGCGTACGGTATGTGGTGTGAGCTAGTGGTGCAAGCTACGGCTTGTAAGCCATGCGGTCTAAGCTATGCCGTGAAAGCAATGTGGTATGAGCTATGGGTTGTGAGCTAAGCGGTGTAACCTATGGTGCGTAAGTTATGCGGTGAACGTTCGTTTGTGTGGATTATGTGGTGCAAGCCATGGGGCGCCCACCAGCGGGCACTTTTTTCAAGCCCGAAGGAAGCTCTGTACCCTGTGGCACCGCCATGCGGCGTCGGCGCTGCGCCCCCAGCGCGCACCGCAGGGAGCGGACGCAGCAGCGCGGCTGCCCGCGGCGGGAGCACCGGCACCCGCCCGCCGCATGGGCAATTCGCCAGATGAGGAGGAGGAGGAGGAGGAGGAGGAGGAGGAGGAGGAGGAGGAGGAGGAGGAGGAGGAAGGCGGCTCCACTGCCGGCGACCCACGCCACGTGCCGCCCGCGAGCAGCGCCTGCGCCTCACCAGCCCCGCCGAGGCGCGACTGTCGCTCCCCGGGGGCCGCGGCCACGGCGGCGGCCACGGCCGCACCCTCCGCCGCCCGGGGGGTTCCGCTCTCCTGGCCGCCGGCGGGGGCGTGGCGCCGTCCGTCCAGCGCCGCCGCACCCAGGGGGGCGCCGCGGCCGTCGCTGCCATGGTTGTCGGCAACGCGCAGAGGGGGGTAGGGGGAGGGGGGAAGGCTTCTTAGAAGCACCCCTGCTTCTTAGACGGCGCGGGCCTTCTCTATAGACGTAAGGCCGAGGCCTTCTAAGAAGCAGGGTGCTGCTAAGAAGCCTTCCCCCCTCCCCCATATCCCCTTTTGCGCGCCGCCAAGGTTGGCCTTCCTTCTCCAGCGGCTACGCGGGCGGCAGCGTTGCGAAGCCCACCCGGCGCACGGGGGGGCGCCCACGAGGCGCCCCCTCGCGGGAGCGTGGCGGGGTCTCGGGGCAGCGGCCCAGGGCACGGGGGGCCCACGAGCTGGCACGAGGCGCCAACGAGCGAGCATTTGGCGAAGGTGTCAAGGGAGCCCACGCAAGTGTTCAGAAACATAAGGGGGAGCCCATAGGAGACAGCACTGTTTGGGGAATACTAGGGGGCCACATGGGAACCCTACCCCACCCTCCCCCTCAGAAGTCGTGTGGGGGAGGGGTAGGGCTCGCAGGTGGCCCCCTTCAATATGCTGGAATCGCAGCCTCGCCGCTGTTGGAGTCGTGCCTTCGCGCAGGACTTCCTCGCGCACTACTGTGGAATCGCGCTCTTGCCAGAGGCATCCCCACAATTTTACACAAGGAGTCGCGCCTTGCTGCCCCGGCCGCCCGCCCCGCCGGAGAGGGTCCGCCCGCCCGACCCGCACGGTCGGAGGGCAGGGAAGTTCTCACACCTCCCCAAGAGTTCTGAGTTGGACCTCCTCCTCCTCTTCTTCCTCCTCCTCCTCCTCCTCCTCCTCCACCTCCTCCTCCTCCTCCTCCTCTCTCTTCCTTCTTGCGTTGGACAAGCGTTGGCTTGCCAGAGCCGTCGCGCCTTGGTGGCAGCGACGCGGGGAAACATTATTCGAAAAGCAAAGGTCAGGTAAGAGTTCTGACGTGGACCGCTGCAGAGCCCAATGATCCCCCATCCAGCACCCCCCTCTCTTCCTTCTTGCGTTGGACAAGCGTTGGCTTGCTAGAGCCGTCGCGTCTCGGTGGCAGCGACGCGGGGAAGCATTACTCGAGAAGCAGAGGTCGGGCCCCGACGCTTCCTGCCGCAGCGCGCGTCGGCGAGACCGAAGGTAGGCAAGACCATTGGACGCCCGCCCACCTGCTCGAATGTCCCGCCTGGCCTGGCCGACCCGCCCGTCAGAGTCCGCCCGCCCTGCCCGCCCGCTGAGGCCCGTCTTCCGGACCCGTCCTTCGGGGTCAGCCGCTGGCCACGCTCGTTATGGACCGTCCGCCCGCTTTCGTGAGGGCCACAAGCAACCCGCTTTCATGCCTTGCCCGCCCGACCCGCCAGTTGGGGTCTGCTCGCCCGACCCTGCTGCGTTATTATGTTGGAGCTGACCTAGCAAGTTTAAATGACAGATAAAGCCTCCCAAAGGAGGTACGTTCATATAAGTAGGGGGCGGGTGTCGCGGGCTAATGGTTGCAGATATGTTGAATGAGACGCGGGCAGCTTAGAGGAAACAGCCTCAAACTTACATTAGAGGAGATAGTCATTGCTTTTCTTCAGTGCTCGCCTGTTTTCCACGCCTGCCCGCCGTGAAAGTTGTTATAACTGCTCCCGTGAAAACAACTCTGTTACTCCCAATCATAGATTGCCCTCGTAGGGGTCCTAGCGGATTCATATGGTTAGGTTAGTTGTGGCGCCGATTTCGGCGGCATGCCCGGGTGCTTGGTAGCCCTATAGCCCTATAGCCCTGATACCCTAACAGCCTTATAGCCCTATAGCCCTATAGCCCTAATAGCCCTATATTCCTGTAGTCCCATAGCTTTATAGCCTTATAGCCCTAAAGCCCTGTATCCCTATAGCCCAATGGCCCTGTAGCCCTATCGCCCTATAGCCCTGGAGTCTTATAGCCCTATAACCCTGTAGCCCCGTAGCCAAATAGCCCCAACAAGATTATGGTTGGGTTTGTTTCTCCGGTCTGATGTCTCTATTTATCTCTCTTTTCTCTTTCCTCTCTGTCTCTGCTCGACTCTGTCCAATTATGATCTCTACTCTCCGCTTACTATACTCTGCTTTACTCTACCCCACTCTATTCTTCTCTACTTTACTCGATGCTACTCTCTGTCTTTGTCCATTTAGTACACGCTTACTTCAATTACCCTCTAAGCTCGCTTTGCTTTCGAAATTTCTGCTTCCGTGTTCTCTCCGCTCAACTAAGTTCTCGACTTTCTCATATGCAGCCTCTGCTCTCAGCTCTGGTCCCGAGAGCCGCAGACCCCAGACCCGTGGGCCCCGGACCCCGGCCGCCCATTGAAATCGGTCCGCGAACCCAGGACAAGACACCCGGGAATTTACTCCAAATTTCGTAATAAAAGGGAGGGGGTCTGGACACTCCAAGACAAGCCATTTCAGACCTCCCCCGTGGGAGAACCTTCCAAAACATCGTCCCCAGACCCCCCAGGCCATAGCCTGGAAGAGACCCCCCCCCGAAATGAGGCCCCCCTCCCTTTATTACGAAATCTGGAGTAGCCGCCCACCGACATCGACCCGGCGCCGGAGCCGGAGAGCGGGAGTTTGGGGCCGCGGCAGCCTGCCGAAATCGGCCTTGCACTGTTCAGGAGGGAAAAAAATACACAGACACAATGAATCGTCGATCCCCCAGAAGATATGGGAAAATATGGGAAGTTGGGGGAAGACCAGAACCCAGAAAATATGGGAAAAAATGGGGCATCTGTTTATTTGTGTGTATTTATTTGTGTGTCCTAGGGCCCCTTCAATTGTAGCCCAATCCTTCGGTTTCCGCCAGGATTTTTTCTCAGTGCAAGCACCGATTGGGGAGTGACGTCGTCGCCATCCCCCGACCCGCGCCGCGGCCTGCCCGAGGCCCACCCGCGCCGCGACCGACGTTTGCTTCAGTGCCGAAGTTGGCGCCCGCGGCGCGCGGTTTTACACTAGACTCTGGAAACGTCATTGTCGGGGGACAAAAAGATACGGATACGTGTTGTCCCCCTTCGTTTTCGGCCTTTCCTGGTCCTCCTGGGGAATCCTCGTTGTCACCGCTGGATTCGCCTCGAAATTCTGGTCAGAACGCACCCCAAGAGAGGTCCAGGGACAACACGTATCCGTATCTTTCCGCCCCCCAACATTGTGCACCCCAGCCCTAAACTTTTTTCCGCAACTGCGGGGTCGAGGTATTCGCGTTGCGCGCGGCTGCAGCACCGCGTCAAGCCTCGGGCACGGGCGACCGCGCCCGAAGAGTTTAATGCAGACCGGGTGTGTTCGTGCCTGGTTCGCTCATCGAGTCTCTCGGATCGCCATCGGCTCGCACCCTGGCGCAGCCTTCTTCGTGAACGCTCCTGGTCGTTCCACTTCGCCCTGCACCACGTCGCGGCAGCCCGCGCCGCAGCACGCCG